ATACTGTCAGTTAGTTGGGTTAAACGCACACCACTAACCCTGCTTACAGCCTTCAATGTTCTACGTTATATGACAAAGTCTTTTTTGAGAAGTTCAGGGAAGAATAAGTAGAGTGAACAATAAAGGAGAATGGAAAGAATACATGAATTAACAAATTGTAAGAGAAGAGGTTGAGTTGCTCCGGAAAGTCTCAACTTTTTTAATGTAAATAAGTGAAACGAGAAATCATCTTAGAAATCAACAGGATATGGAACGACCGACACAGATTCGAAGAGAAACAGATGCTGAGATAAGAGATATTCGATTTACTCCCTATCATCACAGTGCCGTCAGTATTACAAGAATATCATTGAACTGAAAATCAGCTCATTCAAAAATCCTGTTCTCATCTGAAACTAAAATCAACAATATGAAGTCTAGATGGATTCAGTTTAAGACCATTTAAGTGAGACCATTCAATAACTTCAGATAAGAATCAATTCACGCTGTAAGAACAATCCAAAGCAGAAACTACTACTGGGACAAAAATGGTTAGATCATCGGCATATTTAAGAAGTTAGCTTTAAATGAACATGGAAGATTACGCAAAAAGATAAGATCGAACATACCGTATTACCTAGCATATTACACAATCTTGAAATATTTTTTTGGTCAAAATTTTAACAGTTTCAATCACTTATTCACTCGCCTAGTTATGTGTTAAAGTGAAGTGACAAAATGGATTGATAGGAGAAATTATTATTATTATTACTGTTATTATTGTAATCAGGAAGAATACATTTTTGTTATTCTGCTGTCTCATTAATTCAGAAAAAATACTTTTCTTGTCATGATGGCTTGACAGATAATCGAAGGGTTAGAATGCAATACAAGCAAGTGATTCTGCAAAATAACAGTTATAAATATTGTAAATATTAGCCTTAAAAAATAAAGACTAAGATTTCTTGTTATCAGAATTACGCTTTTCCATTTTACTCCAGAATATTTCAGTGTTACAAAGACTATTTTTTATGGTCTTGTGCAAGGGTTTAACAAACTCGTTATATATTTTGTACAATCAGTTGTCCACAGACGGCAAATTGTAGCATAGATAGGGCAGTTACCATCAGAATTTTTCAGCCTGATCTTTATGTTCACAGGCAGTGTTTTCAGCTTCTCTCCCTCCCAGTGACACTACCATTATTTTATTATTACTCCCCGGGGTTCCGAGTGGAAAATAGGGCTTCAACAACACATTTCCATTTTGTTCTATTTTCTTCTGTCCTCTCAGCTGGGTCCAAGATACCCATATTCTCTCAATTCCTCTCCCACACGATCACTTCCATGTCACCCTCGGACCGACTACTCAGTTGTCGTTGCTTCCAATCGGGATTCCACCCGAGCAATGGCCTGCACTGAGCGCTATGTCATTCAACGGCCTCCTGAGTTTATGCCTGATCCACCTTCATTTTCTCCTACATATTTGTTGGGCAATTGGCTCTTGGGTGGTTTGTTCTCAGTCAGAGTTTCTTGTTGCTTATTCTTTTTTCGGCAAGTTGACAGTTTGACCTTCAGTATGGAGTCATCAAAGACAGCTGTTGATAAAAGTCTCTAACTTCTTGGAAATCCTTTACGTGACTGGCAATGCAAGTTCTTGACCCGTATAGAAGCATCGACTTCACATTGGTGTTGAAAATCCGAATCTTGTTCCCTATGCTGCTGGGTGTAGAGGATTTTCAAATTGGTTTCAGGTTGATGAAGGCGTGTCTTGACTTTCCAATTCTAGCTGGCTAGCTTTGACACCTTCATCTGTTCCGAGTGCCTTAGGTTGGAACGATGATTCCTATATAAGTGGAGGAAGTAATCTCCATCATAACCCTCCAGTTGATGGTGATTAGTGCTGGTTGTTGTTATTGTTGCTGTTGGTTGGTTATCGCCATCACTTCTGTCTTCTCTGTCTTCACCTTCTTTCTTGTCTTCACTGTCTACCTGCCTTTCCAGCCAGTTTGTTGGTTTTTGCCTCTAAGTCTTAGAGTTTATGACATTAAACAAATTATCCACTCGCGAAATCCAGATCTTATAGGGTCTTCTCTTCAGTGGCCCAGCGTACTCCTGTTCCTCGCTCCCAACACACAGTCTGACGCATAATCCAGTCCATCACACTTAAGAGTATCATCGTAGGTAATAATAGTCAGACAGCCTTGTGTCGCTATTGTATTTACTTCGAACGGGTCGCTGAGTTTCCTGTTGTGGATCACCTGATGCGCACCACTGCCATAGGGCTCTTGAATGAGGTTGATAGAGATTTTGGCATTGCATGCCGAATTGCTCCTCGATCAAGGCTGTCTGTCGAAGGCCTTTTTGAAGTCAATGAATTTGAGGTAGATTTTTGCTGCTATGCTTTGCATAGAGTTGCAATTTGATCAGCACATGATTTGCCTTTCCTGAATCCACCTTGTTCCGGCTGGTGGAGTTCTGTATCCAATACATCTTTTATTTTCTCCAGGATGATGCGACTTAGTATATTACTTGGCATGGACATGAGTATTATTCTACGCGAGTTGTTGCAGTGGCATAAGTCGCCCTTCTTGACAAGGTGACGTTTTTCCAATCCGTAGGCACCTTTCTTTCCTTTTAAATCTTTTGCAATAATGGCGTGAGAACATCTGCCTCAGTCTCTGGGCGGAATTCTGTCTGGCCCTGCTGCCTTCCCGACTGAAACTCACTATCTTGATCTCATTCAAGATTTCTGCTTTCGTTGGAGGATTGGTGTCCACTGACAGGCAGTTCTGTAAGTGCTGTTGGTGATGATGGTATTTGTTGGTGATTTGTAGGTGATAGTCGATTCATGAGTCCTTTAAAGTGGTCAGTCCATTGTTTTATTCGTTTCTCATGAACATCTTATATAGGTTTCAGCTGCGTTGATCTCTTCTTGGATAGAGACCTGGCTATCTGATACAGTGATCTGAGTTCTCTTTTACCTGCAGTCTACTTGCTCTGCTTCAGGCACCAGTGTGTTGCGACAATGCATAATGACACTGGATAACAGTAAATTTTTTTATTTGCACCTCCAAATTTATTGTCAGAATAGTGCTATGCTACAATTGCATATTTCAGTCTAAATTTTGCAATTTGTTATTATTATCATCCTTGTTTTCGGCTAGCTCGCATGCCTGAACTTTGAATTCATTTAATTCAATTAATCCAAATTGTTTTAAATACATATGACAGTTCTGGGGGGTCGGCTTAAATCACTGGCTACCTAAATTTCTATCCGGTATAATTCCTTTATTATTTTAATAATCTAACTGTATTTCTGAGTCACTACATGAACTCGCACACAGTTTTAGTTTGCTGTAATGCAGAAATATTCTCAATAGAAATGAAGGAAACATATCGCAGAGATTTAGACATTGTTTCAGATGGAACAGCACAGAGTCACACGATGTGCTGCCGAATATTATTTTACTAAAAGATCTTTTACCAAGATTAGATATTTTGCAATTTAAATACTGAACTGTATTAACATATTGTCTAGAATAAACCTGTCATTGTTATTATATGAATATATTATGTAATTTTAAAATCTGATGAGAATTTATCGAAAATATGGATTTACTTAAATCATAACCGGTAGATTTTCAGTTGGTGGGTGGAAAGCTTTTTTCCCTATGCTTTAAGTTTCGAGTTTCTCATTAGTAATAAATGCAATATGATCAAATCTGAAAACAGTTGAAACATTGACTTAACACTAAGAATAGCTGAGTCTATGAAACACTGAAGTACACTTCAATATATCTTTGTCCAACATAGGTATATATTCCATGTGATTAAACTTTGAGGCAAATATTACAATTTAATTTTTGTGATTAACTCTTATCAGTGATTTTTTCTTCCACAGTACACTTACTCCATATAGTGAGTATTTTTTTTCCAGTTCTTTCGGGATTCGGACATGATGCTTCAAGTGGAATGTCTTTAAATAACACTATTCATATTTTCTAGACTTTTAAATCAAGTAAAACGCGCAAAAATCAAACTCATAGTTAGCGAATAAATTTGCTACTTACAGAGGTGAAATTTCACCACATTTCCTCATTGACTGATATGGGTTGTTGTATACTACTCAAATCAACCAGTAGTACTTGCTAGATTTAACTGTTTGAACTGAATCAAGCCGGATACACCCCTGTTAATGTCGATTCCAAACGAGCGAACTGACCTCCAAGTGTTTTGGCCACTTGGGTTTGACTAGCAAGCACTCCCTAGTTTATGTAAGTGGCACACAACCACTGATCTCGATTAATCAGTAGTATCTAGTTTCACATACATTAAAATTGACTGTGGAAACTAAAGAAAACAGTTAAAAACTCGCTTTTTGCAATCAAGACTACATGTATTCAAGAAAACCTTTCATGTTTATTCTCTATGTAAATGAGTAAAATATCTTTGTGCTACAATTAACGGGTAAGATGTAGGAACACTTAGTCAGAATCTATAAGCTGTAATAAATAAACATTCGTTTTAATATAAACATAAAAAGGAGTATTTGTCATAGTCCAATAAATTTCGTATTCAGAATTAAAATTATTTCTTTCTTGATGAGTTCTACGGTCAAACATAAGTAGAATAGTAAAATCGAAAATCATTCTGTTTTCATTCATATCTATCCTATATTTTATTCTGCAACTTTTACTTTGGTCAACCCTTTGTCATTATGCAGAAATCGTAAGAAAGTACCGCTAAATTTGGAATTTTCTTCATGTGCGTCGGTGGCATAGTAGTTGGTACTCTCGCCAACCATGCACATGGTTCGGGTTCGCCCCCCTGCCGACGCACACCTGATATCTATGGTCGACCTGCAAAATTTGAGCTACCGATATCACATGCCGAAAATTCCATACCTGGATCGAAAAATACAGTGTGAAATCAAGCTGTAATAAAAAAACACAATTTTAACTCAAAAGAAAACCAAGTTATTGTAGACATTTTGTCTAAAAAAAGAAACAGATTTTCCTCACCAAAAGAATTTGCATTCACATTTCTGTTCACGTTCAAACTCCATTGTATCATAACCACGATCACAACATAAACGTGAGCATGAATTCACTGCATCTTTAGATGTTGCGTTACACTGTCTACCAGCAATGCCTAAATGACCTAGAAAAATAAATAGTGCATGAAATATACAAAAAGAAATTAATATTCGTTTACACGTTTTTTGGTTGTAAAAAACAGTTAAAACTCATGAGCCATCGATGATTGGTCAACGAGCTTTGCCTTGTAACTGTGAGATCGTTAGTTCAATGCCTTATGGAGTCATGGGTGGGTATTGCTGAAGAGTCGCAAATTAAAATGAAACCGCCGTCCAGTACCTGGTGATTTTTAATGTTTCTTGAAGTAACAATCATCTATGATCGAACTTGAAGTGCTGAACAGTCTACTTTTATGGATGACTAAATTAACATAATTTTTTTCCTTCACGTTCCCCAGTGGAACATACGGCCTCAAGCTAGTGGCTTGAAGTTTCTGTAGCAGTGTTTATTTTACAAGATGGGGTGGCTAGCCTCATTCCCAACCTTTCCTCTTTACCAGAGTTTTTTCTGGCTTAGCGAGGTAAAGGAGTGCGCCGGCCGGGGTTCGAACCCCGGACCATGGTCCACCGAGGAAGAGGGCTCTCGAGTGGTTGCACCACAGGATGATCTTGCATGCCGGTCTCGTCTCGCAAGAGGCAGGGATGGGTGTGTTTGGTTCTCCTGAAAACCAATACCCAGTCAATGGGTGTATGACGGTGTGAAAAATTAACACAATCTATTCCAGCTTAACTATTCACTAACTAAACAGTTACTTATTCAGAAGCAAGAAAATATTTACAAAATGGAACGAGTGAAATGTGATCGACAACTTTAGCGTTGAAATCCATTGTAATATATTCAGTCCTAATACTGTATATTCTATTAGCTAACCGGATATCAATGAAGTCCCAGTATTAACGATATCTATTACCTGCAAATAAAAAGAAGTTTACATGTTTAAATGAAATTAATTGACTGCTTGGAGCATGCTAAACATTTTCTCAAGTATATTTTGGATACTATTATTATTAATCCCTTGGATTCCGAGTGGAAAGTAAGGCTTCAAAAGAACATCTCCACTTTGTTCGGTTCACTTCAGTCCTCTTTAGTTGGGTTTACGATTATCCATAAGCTTTTGTCTCCCTTTCACATGAATTGCTTCATGTCACCCTCGGAGGCCTAACTCTTAATTTCTCATTCGAGTTTCACCAGAGGGTCTGGCAGATGACGTCATCTAAAAGTCTCTTCTCTGTATGCCTACTACATTTCCATTTCCTTCAGCATGTACGTTTAGCAATAGTTCATTGGTTGGTCCGTTGCTAGAGTCACTTCTTACTAACCCTTCCTGGTCAGCTATCTTATCATCAGTATGGAGCCAGTGAAGGCTTCTGTTGATGAAAGTTTGGAGTTACCCGCTGAAAAGGTTTCTGGTGATGATTGAGACAAGTGCCTGAACCACTGATTAACTTGGCATTAGTGTTAAAAACCAGAATCTTGTTTTTTATTCTCAGCACAGTACATTTCCACACTGGCTTCAGATTATTGAAGGTCTGTTTTTCCTTTCCAACCCACTCAGTCGTTGACGTCTTCATCTATACCACCTGCAGTTGAAACAATGCTATCCTAGATAAGTGAAGGAGGTAACTTACTTCAAATTTCTTCCGTTTATAGAGACATTCCAGGTAACACCACTTTAAAGCATCCAATAATAACTGCAGTAGTTCGGGTAGTCACTTATCTGAAAGTTTTTCATGAATATCTAAAACTGAGTAAATTCTACCATTCAACCTGTATTCAGAAATCAAATAATCACAAACCCTGTATGTTATCTCATTTTAGATGTAATGAAAATCCTTGTATTATAGGCGCATACTTTCTGAATTAGGGGCTCAACTACGCGTACTTAGAAAACTTCAGACGATTATGACGAATACACTACAACTTATAGAACTATGTTAGCACTCATGTGAGACAATAAAAACATAGGGAGCAGGATAAAATGAATCCACTTCATGTTTGGAATATAATTATGGTTGTCTATAAACTCTTTCACCTTCAGGGTTAAGAGAAACTTCCTAAGCAATAGGCTTATTAATACAGCAAAACACCATCTTGTCAGTTATTTACTTAACCGTTGATTGATTTTTTCTGTAAATTAATATTTTATAGATGTCTGGCAGATAAATATGAATGATTTGTGTATCTGCCATCAGCACTCAGTGGCGATGGTCTACGCAGGTCTCTTCATACTTTAACTTTTGATTTACTGACTACACGTTTGCCTTTAGGGCACGTCAGAACTTCATCTAGTTGATTTAATTGCATTTTCACATAAGCCTATTTAAGCTAAGCGTCACACGAATTGTTCAGTTCTGAGAGCCACTAAAACCTTTTCAGCATACAGCTTTTTTATCACCCTTGGTTTGCAATTATAATTATAATTACAGTAACTTAGTCCATTATACATGATAATTAGGGATTGCAGCAACAATGTGAATAGAGTTCCCGCCGAAGACATTGGTTGGTGGTCGTGGTAAAATCACGAATCAGTAGACGTTAGAATTCATGGGCCGGCCAATGAATCGGGTCTCAGTGGGTGAATGATATGCGAACTTGCATTGTGACCGGAAGGTCCTGGGTTTGAACCCTGGCGGTGGGTGGGTACTGCCAATGACTCTCAAACTATTATAAGACAGCTGTGCAATACTCCCTGGTTCTGTAACTGATTTCAATTCATGGTCTAATTAGAGAAACTAAGGAGCCCCTACTGAACTAGATCTTTGGTAAATGTAGAGGTTGGTCTAGTTTCCTTCGAAAAGATAGCTTCAACTTCTTAATGCATATGCCGAGGGTTTCTGAAGTACACAGATATCAAAAACACACTGCATTTGATAGATTTTTGTTCACTCTGTAAGCTATTCTCAATGATAAGTAATTTGAGGTGCTGTGTCAAGTGCTGAAGAGATGTTCAATTATGACGCTTCCAACTAGACGAGTGCCACCTCTTTGCAGCTGTGCTGGGTATTTTTTGTAATACGCTTAGAAACAACGCTTATAGAATGACCTATGCATCTAGTTACACAGCGGCAGATGAATTACTGTCTGCTCATCACAGTGGTCATATGCCGAAGTTTGTTCCTTACACTGCTTAGAAGCAGTGGGCGGCTAGAGATATCACCAAATGTAGAAAATTTCTTTGCTTAAACAATATGACATATGATATCAATTATTGAAATGACATACTAGTACCACCCTCTTTGCCAAAAATATTTTTGCCTCATGTACCCAATAATTTTCATACAAAACGAATGCTATTTCATCTGCTTCCAAACCTACCAATTTCTGAAATACAATGGACTTATTTTGACTACTGAAATACTACTCATGAACGATAGATTTATCTGAATTAAAAAGGAATAACAGATCAATAACACATTTCAGGATATACACTGCTGGTAACAGACTATGTTTCAATTAGTCAGGCTGATGTGAAGGAAACAAGTCATATTCAAAGGTGAATTTCTTTCATACAATAAAGTTCACTCAATGTTTTGTTCAGAGCTCCAGTGTTCCTTAAATTTAAGAAATGGAAACTAATGACCGACTTTAGCACAAACTTCCAGTAATTGCAGTTTAAAGGCGCTACTGTATTATTATACTACACCAAAAACATGACGTGAGTCTATGCATTAATCAGATTAGCAGTTAGAGAACCAATGGAAAACCAGTAGGAAGCACTGGACAGTTGCTTCGTCCTAGTTTGGGACTCTTCAGTAGTACGCACCCACCGCCAGTGTTCGAACCCAGCACCTTCTGGTTACAAGGCTAGAGAGCTCATAGACCATTAAGCCACTGGGATCCAACCCAAATTCGAGTCCGTAAATTCTAACTTCCGCCAATTCATGACATAGCGCGACCACTTCGCAATGTCTTCTTCGATGATTAACTGCTTCACTTTCAACCTCCTGTACCCTACTAGTCATGGCATCCCACTAGAACCTCAAGTTAACTGCCTGAATAAGGCCAGTAGCTAGTGAGCATCAGATTAATTTTCAAGTATTTGTTTTGTAGGGATGAAATTTGTTCGATGAAATCCTCCATGCAATCAAACAAAAATTCCCTACCATACTTAAAAATCAGATTAGTAATTTTACTCATTTTGAGGTGAGATTTCGGGGCAGTTCCCTTTGGAGACCGGAATTATTCATACCACAAATTTTAATCTGATTGATACCATAGTAAACAAGAAAGCAAGCATTTTCGCAGAAAAATATATACTACTAACAGATTGAGACGAGTAGTAGCTGCATACCACTGACATCAGCCAGTAGTGTTTGCTAGCCACATTGAAGTGGTCTGAACACCAGATGGCCGTTTCACTCCTTTGGGGTCAAACTCATCAAGGGTGTATCCAATTCTGCTTTACCTAAAATCTCCTAATTACAATGAAGACAAATAAGGTGTACTTACTTTCGACCGGTGAAACCAAACTAAACTTCTCAGGTTCCAGAAATTCGCACAATATATCAAAGTAACTCGTTAACTGTAACAGTACATGTTTTCTCCCACTAGAAACTATTCAGTCTCCCTAAAATCTCTACAGCATCAGAAAGTCTACACTACGTTTTCATAAATTTACTAGTCCATTCTACGCTTCCTCAGTCCATTATAAATGATTAATTAGCAATGAAGAATACCTTTCTGACAACATGGCTCCATACAATTAAAGTTATGTACATATTTATAGAAAGCTGGGCGCATGTGAAACATAGTAATACCGAATAAAAAAGAATATTATTCATTATTATCCCATTTTATATGAGAATAAACCGATATTTTAGTAAAGAAAACAACACACTTTTGAATTGATGTACAATAATTGAACAATGGGGAATTAGCATGTTTACCATGAAACTTTGCCACTGCTGTTAACTTTAGTTGTAACTTGTCGGTGGAGTTTGAAACTCAATGAACTTCATTTATGTAAACAAGTGGTCATTTGCAGGTAAAAACATGAGCCAAGGGAGTAAATAGATCAATAAATAAATCAGTCGTTCGATAATATTAAGAATAAAACCTTGATAG